GGCCCTGGCACGAAGCCCGGCGCGCGGCCTGCTGGGTGAGGACCGGGGCGGGGGTGGCTCGGGAGGCCCCGTGGGGTGGGGGCCTCCTAGGTGTGCAGGGATGTGGGTGGTGGGGTCTAGTGGGCTGACCCGAGCTGTCGCCTACGGCTTCCTCAGGCTTGTGGGGAACTGTGGTAGGTGAGAGGCCTCCCCTTTTCCTCGGGGTCGTGGGGGTGAGCCCAGCCCCCTTCCACGGCGGGCAGGGGTCAGCCGCAGTCGGCTGCAGTCTTGGCGGGGCTGACCTGAGCTGTCCCCTCCCAGGCTCACGGCTCAGCAAGGTATACTCCCAGTCCACCCTGTCCCTGTCCACCGTGGCCAATGAGACCCCCCATAACCTCGGTGTGAAGAGGTCCACCTCTCGGTGAGCTCTGCCGCCGGGGTGGGGTGGGGTCCCATGCTGGTGGCCGCTCAGAGCCATGCTGGGGGCGTCTGTGTGAGGCAGGGTGGGCAGTGGCTTCAGTGTGGATGGGACGCTGAGGAGGTGGGAGATCCCGGGAACGTACTCCATGCCCTGACCCAGAGGGCCAGCAGGGGGACGGCTGGGCTTCCCGAGGGGCTGGGTCCCGCAGGCACCGCGTGGCCCTGCGGGGTGCACGCGTGTCTCTTTGGCAGGGTGCCCCCAGCCTGCCTCTCCCCGGTCCCTCTGTACGGGAAGGCCTCCCCCACCACTGACGCCGCCCTTCCCTGCTGCAGGGCTCCGTCGCCATCCGGCCTCATGTCCCCGAGCCGGCTGCAGGGCACCCGCGAGCGCGAATGGGAGAACGGCAGCAACGCCTCCTCCCCGGCTTCGGTGCCGGAGTACACAGGTAAGCGGCGCCTCAGGCGGTGTGAGGGCCGCAGGTGCCAGCTGGCCCTGGTTGTCCTGTCTGACCTTCCTGCCCACTAGGTCCACGACTGTACAAGGAGCCCAGCGCTAAGTCCAACAAGTTCATCATCCACAACGCCCTGTCGCACTGCTGCCTGGCAGGCAAGGTGAACGAGCCGCAGAAGAACCGCATCCTGGAGGTGCGCTGCGCCTGGCCGGCGGGGCTGGGGCGGGGGCGGGGGCAGGGCCTGGCCAGGCCCGGGCGACTCACGGCTCCCAACCACCCCCCAGGAGATCGAGAAGAGCAAGGCCAACCACTTCCTGATCCTCTTCCGGGACTCCAGCTGCCAGTTCCGGGCGCTCTACACGCTGTCGGGGGAGACGGAGGAGCTGTCACGGCTGACCGGCTACGGTCCCCGCACCGTCACGCCCGCTATGGTTGAAGGCATTTACAAGTACAACTCGGACCGCAAGCGCTTCACCCAGATCCCGGCCAAGACCATGTCCATGAGCGTGGATGCCTTCACGATCCAGGGACACCTCTGGCAGAGCAAGAAGCCCACCACTCCCAAGAAGGGGGGCGGCACCCCCAAATAGCCCTCCGGGGGCAGTGCCCCCCTGGAGGAGTCGGTCCTGCGTCCTGTCTGTCTGTCTGCAACCTCGTCCGGGTGGGGCCGGAGCCCCCACCCCCTAACTGAGTCTGGTCCTGCTGTGGGGGCTGAGCTGGGCGTTTCAGGGACTCAGGGCTCAGCCGGGTCCCCCTGTCTGTCCTCCCCATCTTCTTGAATAAAATAAGTGAAAGGGCAGTGGAGCCATGTCACCCGAGGCTGGCTGGGTTTCGGTCTCATCTTTCCACCCAGGTCTCATCTCTCTCTGCCCCCTCGGTGGCCTGATGCGGCTGTTGCCAAGCTCTGCCGGCCTCCCCTCCCTGGGGATGCTTTCGGCCGCCCTGGAGCTGGGCCCGACCCCTGCATCCCCCACTGTCCCCTTCTGGTGTGGCTGGTCCTGGCCTTCCTGGCCCTTGGTCTGGGGCCAGGGGCTCTGTGCGCCCCTCACCTGAGCCCCACGCCTGAGGCTCTGGTTGCTGCCACCAGGTATCCGTGGCCTGGTCAGACGGCTTGGCTACCCCAGCACTGCCCAACCCTGCATGGCTCATGGCCTAAAGCCCCGTCTGGTCTCTTGACTGCCCTCCACCCCAGGCCAAGCCGACAGCCTCCCCACGGCCCCAGCTGCCTCCTGCCACACGGCAGCCCGTGTGACCTGCTTAGAGGCAAATCTGATTATGTCTGATGACTAAAACCCCTTAATGGCTTAGAGTGTGCAGTGGCTTCCCGAGCTTAGGGGCCAAGGACCACGCCCTGGACGGTCTCGGGCTCCTGGCCCCTTGCCAGGGACAAGAGCGCCTCACTGGTAAGTCCACAGCTCTGAGGGTTTGCGGAGTGCAGTCCCGGAAGGGTCCTGCCAGGCAGGGGCCGGCAGAACCGAGTGCCAGGTGCTTCCTGGCAGCTTCTGTGCAGACCTGGCTCTAGGCCCTGGGGGCGGAGGGACTGGCCATACAGTGCCCAGAACTGGCTGGGGGGGTGTGAAGGTGGGGCTTCTGCCTGGCCCTGGTCCTGCTGCCCCACCCCTTGCAGCAGCCAATCGGGGCCCAGGGCCAGGCCGTCCTGAGCTGGCAGCCCCCAGGGACACCTGGACAGCGGAAGGAGGCTCAGACCGTGACGTACAAAAGCAACTGTATTACGGGGTGGAGGGGCGGGGCG